ACATATTTTAGTGAATAGCCCAAGTGGAACTTGAAAGTTAGCTAAGCTGGAACACTGGAGCTGCAAGAGGAACCTGGAAATAAGAGGAAAGATGGGACAAACAACAAAGCCTGAAGAATAAGAAAAGGCTGTATGGGGCTGGGGGAATCAAGAAAGAGAAATCTGGAAAAGCAGTAACCTGAGTAGTCTTACAGAACAAAGAGCTATGGGGAAATGTGTCAATCACTGTATTATGTTAATAGTGTAGACATTAATCTGTCATCATCATTTTGCCCCCACCAATCCATTACTGTAATAGAGACCCCAAGGATTAGAATTTCCTCAGGGAGTTTCAGGTGAGGATAAGGATGGGCCACCCTCAGATGCCTGGGCTCCTGAGCAATCCCCATCCCGGGCATAGTTCACTTCCAGTTAGGGCAACCTGGCTCATAACTAAAGCCACATGTGCATATGCCTGGTCTTTGCTTTAGTCTTTCTTAGTAGACATAAATTTTAACACTGAACTAGGTGTGGCAAAGAGAGAATGAGAATTTCTCCATCACCAGTACTTAACCAAAACTACAAATAAACGAATCCAAACTTCGCAGTGGTTTTCTATCTCCAGTTTCCTATAAAATTAAGCCATTCATCTTTTCTGCTGAGATGGAAGGAGGAGGAAGAGCAAGCAGGGAACAAAGCAGAGGGCAGCAGAAAAATGCGCTTGGTGCAGAGAGGACTCAGACACTCAAGGGACACCATAGACGGAGGAAGTTAGCAAAGCTACTGCAGAGCCGGAAGGCACAGGGAGTCTGTGAGAAGACAGTCAGCTCACAAAGTCACATTTGGAGGACACTGTGTTATAAAAGTTTGTGATAATTCTAAAAACTCAGTATATTTCTTGGGCATAGAAAACACAAACACTTTCTGCTTTTGTTTCTATATGTTTTCGTGATATGTTCCTATAAGGCATGTGTAGTTAAGGCTAACAAGAGTTTCTCATTTAAATCATTGTATCCCAGCATCTAAGCGAGCACTAGGCCTGTATAAAAGTCAACAAGTGTTTATTGAATGGAATTGGTAACAAAGATTCAAAAACAAAACAAAAATGATATTCTTAAAACTGCCTCTAGCTGACAAACTTAAAAATATACCATGGTTTCACTATGTATCATGTTAGGAACTTAGGCAGCTTATATTACCTCCAGACTATGCTAGTCTACAAGGTTACAAAGACACTGAAGGCAGCAATGTTGACCCCTGTCCTCATGTGGCTTTCACAACACAAAACCAAAGGGGAGATGGCATCAGCAGCTTTTCAGGGAAGTTCAACTGCACTATTCTGTGTTTAAAACATGACAAACTGGGGGTGGGAAGATGGCTCACTGGTAAAGAGTGCCTGCGACTCTTGCCCAGAGCCCATAGTAGGCAGCTCGTACTGTCTGTTACTCTAGCTCAAGGGATCTGACACTTCTGGACTTTGCAGGCACTCATGTGTATATGAGTTTGTGTGTGTGTATATGTGTGTGTCTGTGTGTGTGCGCACGCGCGCGCGCGCACACACACACACACACACACACACACAGAGAGAGAGAGAGAGAGAGAGAGAGAGAGAGAGAGAGAGAGATACAAAATGAAATAAATGTTTTAAAAAACAGCAACCTGGCTCTCTTCCTCTTGCTCTTGCTCCTGCTCTCTGATCTGGAGCCTCCATGTGATTCCCAGGAAGAGGACACCAGTGGAAGGCGTCCTGGATAAGATAAGTCTTATAAAATATATAGATTTATGATAACTAAGACTACGCTAGCATATAAGAAATCCTAGTCAACTGACCAACAGCATTGTAAACTAACATAAGACTAACTAACATAAGACTCTGTGTTATTCTGGGCTCCCATGTGGCCTCGGGGCTCGGGTGGATGGAATAAAGATTTATCGTTACAGAATGGTGTCAGGATGTGGGTTTACAAACTTCCACTTAAAAACTTCACAAAAGCTTTAAAACGGATTTTAGAAGCAAAAGAACAGAGACAAGCATGACTTCTTGGTCGCAGCATTTTCTCGGGTGGTCTCTGTTTGCCACAAAGAAGCAGAGGCTTGAAGCTCCTTTAAAATTGTTTGATTGCTGAGGAAAGAGCTACAATACATTTGATTATCAATGCTGCTGAAAAAAATCCAACTTATACATTTTAAAAATGCTTTGACTTCAAAATTTAAGTCTAAGGACAGGCTACTTGGGAAAAGATTTCTTGCTTGTGTTTTCACAGAAAATGAAAAGCTGTGGGTTCTTCCAGACTAATATGGTTTGATCAAGCAAGACCCATGAAGCAGTGGCCCAACTGATCCTACATCCAAAACAGCTGAGATGATGCAGCCATAGATGACTACAGCCAGATTTCCATGTTTTATCATGATCCCCATGATATGGACATTGCCCCCAAATAGCAGGAAGAAATTTGGAATGAACAACGCCCAAATTCCCAAATATTGTTTATAAATGTTTGTTTTCATTTAAATGGGGTTGTTATAAATGGTAATGATCACAGTCAATCTCTTTTTAAAGGAAAAAAAGGGGAGTAGGATATGGAGATGAATACTTTACATTGGTATGGATTTCCATTTATTGACACAAATTAAGGTCAATTTTGTGATATGCATAATCAAATACAGATTATATAGTCACCTATAATAGTTACAAACTACAGTTAGGTTAGTTACCTTTTCTAGATATACAGAGATGTATTTGAGATGGATAGATATTCTTTAAACCTTTCAAAGACTACAGTATATATGGCATTTAAATGGTTTAGGGTTTTTCTTGACAGTGAGACACAACTGCTCCAGGCACACCAATTATGTCAGAAAGAAAGATGGGCATTGAAGAAACTCGTTACAGTGGTTGCCTTCAACATCGAAAGATTAGCCATTTGGGCAAGAAACTGCTCTTGCCTGGACTGTTTGTTGCTGTATAAACTGAACAAGCAGGACCCACAAGAAAGTGATTGCTGAACTTACGAAACAAGACAGTACTGAAGGGTTCCTGTTGAAATGGAGAAGTGTGCCAGACACACTGTGGCCTATGGGCTGAAGATGGATGCCCCAACGTTACAGAGGAACTTTGGGTGACTGTCCAGGTAGCAAGATGTCTCTGTCAATTCTAGAGTTTATATATTATCCTTCTGTGGTCTTTGATCAAAATTAAAGACAGTTAGTTATGGTTATAGTTTTCTTTATTTATTATAAAATATAAGTTACCCTTCTTTTTATTTAGACAGAAAAAGAGGAGATGATGGGGGAAGTTCTTCTGTGGATGTGTTTATCTTATTGGTTGACAAATAAAAGCACTGTTTGGCCAATAGGGGAGCAAGTTAGGCGGGACTAAGAGTCCAGGATGATTCTGGGAAATGTAGTAAAAAGAAGTCTTGTGATCCAGGCAGTAAGTGACATAACAGGCAGACTCACCGTTGGCGAGATTGGACGACAAAGAAGTCTAGAGGTCTGCTTGCCTCCATCTTCTTCCCCAGTGTAGGCTTTCAGATACTCAGCATAGTGCCTGGCTTTTATTGGTTTCTGGACATCTGAACCCTAGCCTTGAAGCCTATATAGCAAGTTTATTGACTGAACTGTCTCCCTAGGCCACAGTTATTTAATTTTTAACAATCTTAAAATCAAGGTGCACAAATTTATAAGAAGGAACTTAAGGGAATGTCATATCAACATGAGAACTCAAATCCATTACTTGGCTCAGTCCTTCCTCATCCCTTGATTATTTAGCCTGAATTGTTCTGCATGCTATACTGTACTCACATGCACGTTTGCTTACACACACCATATATCATTGGCTGGGTTCCCCGTATGAGGAAGAATGTAATTTTCTTCTTTCTGAGATTATGTGGCCTCATTTAATATTATACATTTGAAGTCCATCAATTCTCCTGCAGATTTTGTAATGCAAAGCTCTTTAAAACTTACCAAAAACAATGAAACATTTAGATATCCAACAGGAATTACATTCCAGAAAGCTAACAAGAAAAAATGATACTGTCACCCACAGGCCAGGAGAGCAGAGACACGAATGTTGCCAGCAGCCTGAAGAGATCTGGGAATCTTTTAGGGACCTCCCCCTAGGCAAAACTGGATCTTTGGCAATACTACAGAAAATAATTTTAGGAGTGCAGCACTGAAGTCTGCTTTAAATATCTTAACCGATTTAAAATCACAGATTTGTACCAAGAGAGGCCCTCAGGAAGGAAGATACACCTTAAAGCTAGAACCTTAAACCAGCTGCTTGTTATCTTTGGTCCAAAAATACTTAGGAGTAAAATGAAATAATGACTGTAGAAGAAACAAAATTTGCAAGTAAAAACTCTGTAGGTGCCAATAACCATTAACGGTCATTTCTTCCCCATTCATAGGTGCTGTAGGCATATGTTCACCCTGTCACTACAGTGAGGTGTATCACAGAAGGAGACGGCTTTCAAAGCACAGCAACATGAAAGCACACAGAACTCTGGGCATGTTGACGGAACAGCGCATGACTCCCGCACTTTGTGTCTATCTACAGGTGTTCTGGTGCCTTAAAGCCAGCTTCTATCTAAGTAGATGCTCAAAAGTGCTGTTAGGTGTCAGGCTGCTCCCCTTAATGTGGTCCATGATATTTTCCTCCTTCAGAAGCAAATTCTCATTATTGTCCTTGCTTATCCCAATACATGTGAGGGTTACTGAAGACTGCATCTGCAGAATCATTTCACAGATAAATCTAACCCATTATGTGATATTTTTATAGAAAGTAAACTCTTGTGTGACCACATACTACACACATAAATAATTTAATTTGCAGTCAGTAATGCATGATAACTTTAACATGTGGGCAATAAATGTTTAAGGTAAACAGAGTCATGTAGCTATATCTTGTCAACACAGTATCACTAGGTCTCATGGGCTTCTCTAAGAGTGATAATAATTACTATTAATAGTCCATGTAAACTTTCACTAGTACATGAGTAGTTATTTATATTACTCACCTAATTGCATCATTGGTCTCTGAAACAGCTTTCAAGTATTCCTTTAAATAATAATAATTAAAGCAGTATTTCCGGATCCTATAGCCACGCCATCGTCTCTGAATCTATTAGTGAAAATAAAAAGATAAAATATTCCATTGAACATTTAAAAAATATATGTATGTCTTCAAATCAAGACTCTTATGTCTAATAACTTCTGTCAGATAAAGGTTTGGACAATGCCCCAAGTAGACATCTTATGCAACCAGTAAAACCTCTAGTGCCAGGAATGGGTTACATATTGTTGAGGCATTGGCCAATGAGGTCGCATGGCCCACCCCTCTCAAATATCACAGGCTATTTCCAGGGCTATTTGGTTATTCTCTAAAACCTGATGGTAAGGCCTTAGTGCTGAAGACAGTATTTATGTCATTGAACAGAGAGAAGTCAAGCTGGTATTCAACTAAAAGCTTCACCCAGTGACTAGCATTCATGATGCTGGAAGTTTCTCTGCACACTGCTCTAGGAAAAAAGTAACCATCACTAGCACCCAGCTACAAGCCTTGCAACTTACAACAGAGACATGCCTGTAAGATATACTGGTGAAATAGTGGCACAGATGCAATAGGATTAACCAACATTTCGATTGAATTTAAGACCCACTCCATGAGACGGAACCTGTATCAGACATTGATAAAGTAGCAAAGAACATGAGACTAGATAGGTCATGAGCATTAGGGGAAAACCTATTACTATTACCCTGCCAAAGGAACCCAACATAGAATAATTCCTAATGACACACTGTCACACCTATAGACCAGTGCCTCACTAGACACTCATGAAAGAGTCTTCTTGCAGTAGATGGAAATACAGAGACCCACAACTGGATAATGTGTAGAGAGTGACAGACTTTGGAGCATTCAGCCTTAAAAGGGATGTCATTTTCAAATCTGTCTCCTCCATGCTCAGAAATCTATGTAGAAGTGGAGGTAAAAAGATTTTAAGAGCCAGAGGAGGTGGATGAGTGCAAGGAAACAGCAGCTTCTAGACACAGTAGGACACAGTAGTCCACAAATGAACTCAGAGATACTGACAGCACACGCTGAACATGGTCAAAGCAGACAAAATCCCAGCACTGAGAATTGGAAGTGGACACAGAGCCCCATCTCTAACTATCTGCAATTGATAACTTCCCAGTGAGGGAAATTTAGTTTCTCCAATAGAGTGTCACTGGGTTTATCAAGCTTCCTGGAGGGCAGTTCCCACACCCAGGAGTAGTTGGCCAATACAAAATGGATTCCACGGGGTTTTGTGTTCTTCCTTCCATTTTGTTGTTGTTTTATTGATTTTCTTTTTTAAAAATTGAATGTTTTGATTTTCTTTCTTTTTTTGAGGTGAGGATGATTTAGGAGGAATTTAGGGAAGGGAAAGCATATGATCAAAATACATTTTAAAAATAATAATTGAAACTCTCAAATAATAAAAAACACAAGAGTGTCTTTGGGTTTTCTATGAATATAGCTAGCACATTGGTTGGGATTGTAGGGGTAGGCCACCATTCCCACCACTCTTATGTAGCTACTCAGGCTCCCAAGCCCCATCCCCAAGCTTCTATAGAGGCTCTGTACCCACTGACCCTCTTCCTGCCTGTGAAGTAGCTTTCTTAGTTCTTTGGTCACAGCTACAGAACACACAACTAATACAACTAACTGTACTGTAGCTTGGATAAGGCCTAATTGAAGTAAACTGATAAATGAGCCTGTCTTTTGATGGGGAATGTACTGTGTATGTTTATCTTATTGATTGTTAAATAAAATACTGTTTGGCCAATGAGACAGCAAGTTAGACGGAACTAGGAGTCAAAGAGGATTCTGGGAAATGTAGTAGAGACGTGGTGATCCAGGCAGAAAATAACATAGCAAGGAGACTCATATTTAAGTGAAGGAGAAACAGGAAGCGTCTCTTTTCCCCTCTGTTCCTGCTCCAGTGGCACAATGTGAGCCACCGACAAGGAGGGACGCCAATAAGGCGTCCGATAAGATAAGTCTTATAAAATATACAAGTTTATGATAGTTAAGACTGAGCTAACAGATGAGAATCCTAGTCATTGGCCAAGCAGCATTGTACCTAATACAAGTTTGTGTGTATTCATTTGGGCCCTAACTCAGGCGGACGGCTGGCATAAAGCTCACAAGTGGCAATGGGGCTCGGTGGCCTTTGGCGGAAAGATTTATCGTAACAGTCTTTAGATAAAATGCTATTTTTGTTCTTTTACTTTTTATTTTTGGTATTATAATTTTTTGTTGTTTTTGTTTTTTGAGACAGGGGTTTTTTGGGTATTGTAATTATGTTGTTTCCCTTTCTCTCCCCCACCCACCAATCCTGTCCTCTTTGAAATTCATTGTCTTTTCTCTAGTTGTTGTTATATATATTCACAAGGCCCTGAGTTCAAATTGCTAGTATCACCAAACTGGAAAACCTTGATAGCTGGTGTTGCATTTACTTACTTTGCACTCTGCATAACACTTCTCTAGCAGCCCCGCTGGCTGGCCTGAGACTCACTATAGAAGTCAGGCTGTCTTTGAGTTTACACTCTCCCCTTAGTTTCCCAAGTGCTGGGCTGAGAGGTACCAGAAACTATGCCTGCTACTGTACTGAGTCTTGATCATGACTTTTTAATGCTATTTTAATAATATTAATAGCAACTATTTGTTGACTTTTCAGGTGTCAGGTGGGATTCTAAGTGGGTTGTTTATGTTGTTTATTTTCAGAACACTTCTATGTGAAAAATACTATCTTTATCTCATTCGTAGAAAATGACACAAAAACAGGTTATGTATTTTTCTTATAATTTTTCAGCTATCAGTGATGGATCTAGTAACTATGCTGGAGCAGTGGCGAATCTATTCTTCTAGTCATTACAAACAACATTGGAAAATAAACTAATTACTATTCTCAACCCATGAAACTTCTTCTGACGCTATCTTCTTCAAATATCTTCTACAGAAATCCAAACAGTTTATTTTTACCAAAAGATGTAACTTCACTTTTCTGAGAAGTGCTGGGGATGTACAATGCCTCACTTCAGTCAGCTCCAGGCTGTCATCATGAGGCCTTTCATCCTTCAGTAATATTTTCACCAGCTATCAGGACTATTCAAACTAAAATGTAAAGTATGATATCAATTTTGTGGCCAAAAAGAATGTCTGAACTTATTTAAAAGAATGGAAGGAAGTTACAAAAGTATTGAAATAACCCCCTGTATCTTATCAGACCACCATGCATTAAAGCTAGAATTCAACAGCAATACGAATTGCAGAAAACCTACATTTGCGTGGAAAATGAATAACACCCAATTGCACCATTCCTGGGTTGAGGAAGAAATAAAAAAAGAAATTAAAGACTTCCTAGAATTTAATGAGAATGTAGACACAACATACCCGAACTTATGGGACACCCTGAAAGCGGTGCTAAGAGGGAAGTTCATAGCACTAAGTGCCCACATGAAGAAACTGGAGGAAAGTCACATTAGAGAATTGACAGAACAACTGAAAGCTTTAGAGCAAAAAGAAGCAAACACACCAAGGAGGAGTAGATGCCAGGA